GGGTAATTATACCCTTTCACGGTACCTGGTTTTTTGGCCATAAAGAAATCGAAAAATGGATGAATTGTGATCTCAAAAATTGAGTTTCTTTAAATAATAGTTAATAAAAAATATTCTCATCATCAAGTTGTTCTATTCTTTTGTATTCTACATGAAAAAACGAATAACAAAAAAATCCGTTTTGGTATAAAATTCTTATTAAATGTTAATAATGAAAAGTTACTCCTATATTCTTAGTGATAGGTAGAAGGGTGGCAAGTGAAGGAGGGCTGAATGACAAAAATACCCTTTAATTAGCCCTAAGGGAAACCAGATTGAGAATTAAAATTTGTTTAATTTTTTTATAAATTGACGAACAATAACTATTCCTAACTACCATGATACAAATGTGGGATATCTGTGGTTTTCAAAGAGTTAATTTAACTGATTTGATCACATTTGACCTTAAAACTAGAGCATCGTAGGATTATCAGGATTGATTCTAGGGTGATAGGAACAGTATATATTTCTTTATCTATGGATTGTTCAGTATATAGATTAATCTAGATTACTCTGTAGACTTTTATCTATGGATTAGTTATATTATTCATTGAACTAGACTAGAAAGTGTTCCCCTCCACTTCAATGATATTATTACCCTTTGTATATCTATTATCTATGGTACGGTTATTATCAAAATGAGCGGTCAACATATCCGGTAAATGTAATGTTTTTTATTTAAAATAATTAATTTAATCAATATTATTTTTTTAGTTATGATGAATCTGACGATTGTTTTTATTCAAGTGATAATGATGAAGATTTACAAATTGATGCTCCTGAGAAAAATACCTCTGACGACAGAGTATGTGGTTGGATTTTTCTATTGCCTTTTATTATTATAAATATTTACATTAAAAAGAAGACATTATTCCTAAAGTTTGTTGTTTTCAACAATAGGAGGAAGTATTTGGTATCTACTCTGACAATGAAAGCAGTGATATTGCCATGAGTGATGTTGAAGAACAGGAGGACAATGATATCCCGGACATAAGAGCATGGGGAAAAGGAAAAAAGAAATATTATTCAACAGATTATGTTGATAAGGACTATAACACTTCCCACGGCAAAGATGCCTTACTAGCTGATATAGAAGAAGAAGAGGCAAAACAATTGCAGTTACAATTAGTACAACAATTGCAAGATACAGATTTTCATTTTGATATGCTGCCAAAGGTATACCACAATATTTTGTATAGGTATTATGTATAAATATATGCACTCTTACTTTAAATGTGTATTTTGAAGCAGTGTAAAGAAGATACAACAAAATTTGAAGAAACTGTTATTACTGATGTATCAAATTTAACCAAACGCCAAAAGATGGATATTTTTCGAGCAGATGCCCCTGAATTTTTTGGACTTATTGGAGATTCCAAAGGTACAATGTAAAACACTGTGTTTTATGTTTAAATGGAAGAATTTCCTTTTCAGAAAAGTTTAGCACAATAAAAAATATCTTGAAGCTACTGAAAAATAATTTTACTACAAATGGAGTAAATGAGAGCGGAGCTTTAGAATTTCTTTATAAGCATTTACAGTTGATATTAAAGTAAGTATAGAAGTGAAGTATATACTTTGAAATAGGAATCTGGAAATCTTATTTTCCATCATCAGTAGTTGTTAAATGTGGACAATGCAATTAATATACTACATTACATAGATTTCTTAAATTACACTTTTATAGCTATTTGGTAAACATTGGCATATATTTGTTACTTAAATCTCAAAAAGCTGCTATTAAAACACATCCGGTTATTAAAAGAATATATCAATATAGGCAGCTTTTGAATAAAATGGATCATGTTTTTCTTCAATTAGGAAGCCAAGAAATTGGAATAATTCCATCAGAGTTTCAAGTAATACCTCACAATAATTTAATATTTTGCGCTTATTGTATTTGGAATTTTAGGAAACTCAAAATCAGCTTGGATGTAATAGAAAATCTGCACAAGACCTTAGAACTCAACCAAAAGAAAATATCGTTGGAAATAATCAACTTAGTATTTTAGTGAAATCAAAGGCAAATACTGATGGGGTTGCAGGTTCGACTTTTTAAATTCAGTTCATTATTTCATATGTAATAACACTTTAAAATTAGTAATACATATGTTTTTCGTTGTACTAGAGTTAAAGAGACCCATCTCTTATCAAATTGCTAAGAATAAGGGATTATTACCACATCGCAAAAAGGAACAGCGTAATCCGAGAGTAAAGAACAGAATGAAATACAGAAAGGCTAAGATTCGAAGAAAAGGAGCTGTAAGTTAAATGCTTTTTTTTGTAGCTTTTAATAGAATGTAACGGCAATTATTAAACAAAAAAATTTTAGGTAAGAGAAGTACGAAAAGAGTTAGTTAGGTACTCAGGTGAAATATCAGGAATAAAGGCTACAGTTAAGAAAAGTATTTCTATTAAATCTTAAGTAGAGGTAAATAAATTGTTTAACATTTGTTTTTTATTAGACATCTATTATCTTTTTTATTTATGAGTAGTTAGTTGAACCTCTAATAAAATTTATAGGTGAAGAAAAAACAACTGCCACTTCTACAACTTTTTAATAATCAATATAAATCAATAAATCCAACCTATTGTAATACATTGTAAGTTATTCAACATGTGTTTATATATATATATATCAATAATTATATAATAAGGATAATAACAGTGTGAGCTTTCTCAAGCTGCTATCGGCAGCTCCATTACGTTTCAAAAATTGCAAAAAAGATGTATTTAAAAGTACAACTGAAATAATGCCAGTTTCTGTATTTAGTTTTTTTGTTTAATAAAATGAAGCTGCTTTACATACCAGAAAAAATGGGGATACTCAAGCAATTATGAAATATGTTTAACATAAAAACTATAAAACATCAATATTATATTTTCTACTTTTAAGTTTGGTGCAGTAATACATTTCATAAAAGAAAAATAAGCAACAAGCTTCTATTTTTGATAAAGAGAATTACTGAAATCTATTTCTGCACGTTTTAATTTTGTATAATTATTTAAATGGCATCGATGTCCACATCATCTTCGTCGTCATCTACACCTGCAGGGATTTTAGATGTCTTACTTGTAGGTGCCGGAGCTGCTTTCATCTGCGATACTTGTACGCGATCATTGTATTCAATTTCGACGCCTTCGTCACTTTCGTCTTTACTATCAGACGACTCTTCTTCTTCAGCCTCTTTTAACCATTTGATAAATGGAGCAGCTTTATTATGTATCTCTTGTGAAACATCTTTAGAAACGTATTTTTTCGAAACCTTATCAGCCCACTCGATAATTGCAGGTTCCGTTAGAATATCCATATCATAAAACAGTTTCAATAATCCAGGAACTTTGTTCATTAGAGTGTCGCGATGCATACTTATAACCTGTTCTAATCCACCCATTAAATATTTTTGAGCTTTTTTATCTTCGTGAGTGAAACGTAAGAGGAGTGAATGGTGCTTCTTAACCTGTTGTAAAATGTTTTGATTAAACAACAATTCGGCCAAAATGAGAGTTGCTTTAGATTTAATTTCAAGACGTTCAGCTTCATTCACGAGTTCTTTTTGAGCTTGGGAATTTTCTAAGAGCCCGGCATCACGTTTGGTTTTGACCATTTCATACAACATATCCAACCGTTCTTTTTCAGATTTCTCTAAATCGTCGGTGATAGTGATATTTTTGGCGCCTTCCGTTAAGTCTTGCATTCGTGCTCTTACCGCTTCTTCAGAAATATCCGCTGCCCATTCGGTTCCATCGTCCTCATCGTTTGCAGTGTTCTGTAGAACGGAAACGAATGAATTAAACCACATTTGATACGGACAATTATATAAACTAAGTATAACTTACATCGTTAAATGTTAAATCTGCTGGAGCTTCCAAACCAACTTCTTCGTCACCTTGGGCGTCTCCGTTGTTTGTACCTTGTGAGTCACCATTTACTTTTTTGCTTCGTTTCGTGCGTTTTCCTTCCGTTAGTGACGATCCCTGCACGGCAGGATTCATATTGGGCGGGTTTTTAAGAATGAATGTGTTCAACTTGTGATTTTCTTTTAAAATGCCGTGATAACCGCAAGCTTTACAACCGGTAGATATAGTTCCTCTTTTTGCTGATACAATTAAATCAGTCTCAGGGTTATCACACCCTGGACAAAGCACAAACCTTAAATAAAAATATGTAAAATGCTTACAAATAACAAATCAATTATTGATAAAACATACTTGCGAATAAATCCATCCAATAAATCTTGAAGTTTAATGGCATCATGAGAACCATTGACAATGAAGCGTTCATTTTTGAAATCGAATTGGGTTTGAGCACCCAATTCGCATCCGAAATATTTTGTGGGATAAGTGGGAGGCCTACCCAAAGCTTTTGCAACTTCAGTCATATTTACAATTACCGTCTTGATTCCGTTTCCTTTTCCTTCCACCTATAAAACAGTATCAAAAGTGACACCATTTGCAAACAGATAATATACTTAATACCTTAGCCACGATGCGTGGCATCTTGTAGCGGTAGAAGGCATCGCTAACGCTTCTGTTTATATTGACACTGCCCATGATAAAGAAATGTGCTTATGTCGTGTACCTTTATATATGAAAATAAACTTTTGAAATGCCCTATTGTTGCTTTCAGTCACGTTTCCCTAAAGGGTTGAAGTTTCCGATGCCTATTAGATGAAGATTTGGTGGTCCTAAAAGAGAAAAACAATTAGAGTATAATCAATATTATCGAAACATATTAATTACTTACCTATTACAATGGAGTTCTTGACGCTGCGAAGTCATGCACCTAATGTGCCAATACCCTAAGCTCCCAACTATACTACTTGTTAATGATGTTTCTGTAAAAAAATGAAAGTTTAACTTGTTTAAAATACATTTTTGCTATAAATGTAATTATCGAAAAGCGAATAACTTCTTACACAAACTCAAAAATTATCTCACCAAAAACAATGGTAATCAACCCAGGCTATCTCCCCACATACCTATATCTACCATATACGTATGCACAACATAAAAATAATTCATTCAGTTTATTAAGCTTATTACTATTAATACATATTTAAGAACATTAATAATTAACCATCGATGAAGAAATAATTAATTCCATACACTTACGTATATTTTATAGCTAAATATTCATCGTAATTGATTGTAATTTATTGATTTGTTAAGCACCATGCTTTTTTTATGAAGTTTAAGAACGTTTTTCATATTAAGTGTTGATGTAATATAATTTTAATGGAAAGAAGTCAAATATTTATAATATAAACTGAATAAACAAAATACAAATCAGCGCTTGTCGATGTGAACAATATTAAAGTTTAAAAAAACGAGATTCAAAAATCACACCACATTCATTTCTACTTACTCGGTGAAAACAACTATCAGTTTTCAGTTTCTCTAATTAATAATTATGAACTTATTACAGTATCGGTAATCAAATCCTATTGATCTTGACATGAATATATACATCCCCAAAGGGCAAAAAAGAAAATCATTGGTAAACGATGGATTCACTGATTTACATTGATTACTGTTTCAACCGTCCTATTTCCAATGGTCAGGATCATATGAAAACATTATTTTACAAACGAAAAACTTTACCCGCATTTGGCAGGACATTAATATATTTTTAACTACATTTAATTTACAAAAACGTTTTGACATAAATACGAACTATTAGCCAACTAACACATAATATAATGCAAATGTAACGACAGCTATTTTAGATGAAATTCATTTTCATACCCGTGTAAGACCGGGAAAGAATAGTCTTACCGCTGGTCCCGGCGTGTCGTATGAGGCGACTAATGGTGACATATTTCGAAAATTGGGGTTTGATCAACATTGGCAATGATAAAAAGACTCGAATATATTTAAAAAAAAATTAATTCGAATACTATTCGTTTGTTCACGTCCATCAGCAAAAAATTAAATCGTAATATAGTACATATTTCTAAGTAAACAGTTACTAACAATAAGCTCGTAATTAGTATGAAAAATGAAGTTTGCTTTTTAAAACGAGAATATGACTGCTAACTGCACTTATTGATTATTATGTAGTCGGGTAAATAATACACGTACTTAGATTTATTTAAACGATACTTTAGTTAAAGAAAACCCCACCAATCAATGTAAACTTGGGACATTTTTGATCAAATTCCAACAGAAATGTAATTTCACTTTACTAATTTCAATTTCTGTATTTGACCTCATTGAATTTATTTTTCTTCTCCACTTATAAATTGATATAGGTGTTCTTTGTCTATGATGTGGCGTACCAGCAATTAATGACGTTAAACAATAATATACAATAATGCAAAAATAATTAATTGGGTACCATACATCATCAGAAATTGTATCTTACCATCATCGCAGGAAATGGGCGACAGCATGGAGGCTGAAAAACGCCCCTTTAATTTTTTGAAAACAATAATGAATCAGCGAATACCGAACAAACCGATAAACTTCCTTAAAAAGCTTACACTGATGTTCCTTTCATTGCGCTTGTTAACAACGCTGCGTTGTACTGAACATGTAGGGTCGATCCTTTTGATCAAGCGCATCGCGGTCGCAATATTCGATACTTTTATATGTATCGTTCTTATTCGGTTTATAATAGGTATATACCTTTTTTTTATAAAAATTAACAAAAATTATTTTTATGCTTCACGCAGTACCGACTTTAACTGAAGCAAGGTCACGTGTAAAAGTTTTTATCGACGATGGTTTAATAAAAAAAACTAGTATTTCAATAGATTGCCAGTTTTCTTGTCTTTACTTCTTATTAAATGAATTATTTATTAAAATAGTTTACGTTAGAACAAAAATAGTCACTTGTGATTTTCTTATGAAACAGTTACAAGTCTTACGAAAATTAGGCTATAAGATCCGCAGAAAAAATGTAATTTATGTCTACTTTTCGAAGAAAATAATCCGTCTGAACCACACAGGCGCTATTAATGTTCCATGTTTATTGTAGAAATATTATTATTGTTATATTAATACATCAACGTGAAAACTCCTGGTAGATACGTTTTTTTGGTATTATAAGAGGAGAAAATGAAACCTATATTATTCGAAAGGTACTGTGTCATAAGTGTGCACAAAATAATATACTACTGTATATACGGCCATGAAGGTTTGAATTTAATTTAACTTAATCTATAATTAATGCTGGTTTGCAGCAAATATAATACTTTTTTCTTTATACTAGGTAAGTTAAATTGCCTTAATATTGACTATACGAGGTTTGAGCGCTGTCCAACAATGTAACTAAAATTTTTAAAAATACGCATATATAATAATATTTCATAAATATGGCAACGCCTGAGAATAGATTATGGATGTATAAAATATATAGGCGATCGTGTGTTGTATTTTCTTGTAACGTCTTCAACATAATTGTAAAATAGATTTATCAAAATTGCAGTTAATAACTCAACTTCGTGTATTGATTTATATAAGGATAACTAACAAATTAAAATTGAAGCTAGTGCTGTTGTGTATTAAACACTTGCAGATTGAATTATATACAAAAATAATTGAAATATCGCCTTTTCAAATATAATATTCCAGAATTTTAACTTATAATTTTAATATTACCTTTTGGTCTTTCTAAAGTCATATAAAAAGGTTGCGCCCCTTTGGACGATTCCAACAGCTGCAGAGAATTCTTTTTATTGAGACAGTATTTTAACAATTTCAAAAAAGCACAATGTGCTTTAAGTCCTAATCTGTAAGAAGAAAGAANTTTTTTTTTTAGAAAAAAAGCGTAGTTATGAAATGTCATCGTTTGATGAAAAGCAAGCAATGACTTTATTAAAAGAACATCCTGTAGAATTTGTCAACTACAACAAGAATCAATTGAGTAGAGTTTATCCGGCAGGAACGAGGTTTGATTCGTCTAATTTTATTCCTCAAGTGTTTTGGAATGCAGGATGTCAACTTGTGGCTCTCAATTTTCAAACACTAGATCTAGGGATGCAGTTGAATTTGGGGTTTTTCGAATACAATTTCAGAACTGGTTACATTTTAAAACCGGAATTCATGAGGAGACAAGACAGGCGCTTAGACTTATTCGCAGAATCCACCATCGACGGCGTTATTGCCGGAACCGTAGAAATTACTGTGATTTCAGGACAATTTTTGACTGACAAAAGGGTCGGAACTTATGTTGAGGTAAAATTTAATTAAGCCTTACAATTTTGTATATGACCAACAACTGTTTAAATAGGTAGAAATGTATGGCCTACCAGCAGATACTGTGCGTAAAAAAGTACGCACCAAGACAATTGCTAACAACGGAATAAACCCTATTTATGATGAAGATCCCTTTGTTTTTAAAAAAATTGTTTTACCCGAACTCGCCTCTTTGCGAATAGCAGCCTATGAAGAATCTGGTAGACTAATTGGTCACAGAATTTTACCAGTCGTGGGACTTTGTCCCGGTTATAGACACGTTAGCCTAAGAACAGAGTTCGGTCAACCATTACCGTTGGCAACTCTATTTTTTTATATTGTTGTAAAAGATTATGTACCTGACGGCCTGACCGATTTAGCCGAAGCGCTGGCAAATCCTATCAAATATCAAAGCGATTTAGAAAAAAGGTCCAGACAGTTAGCAGTTCTTACAGATGAGATGGACGCTGCACAAACGGGTAAGAAGATTACAGATCTTATACATAGATAATAGGTACCTATTTGAAATTCATTTCGATTTATAGGAATATCAGCAGTTAATAAAGAGGAAAACAAAAACAAAGACATTTTAAATAAATCTAATCAAGAAAATATTCCTACCAGTAATTCCACAACTCAACAAGCAAATAACCGAAATGCAATAGAAATACCTCTTGAAACTTCTCAGTCAATCACAGAACAAAGTACAGCTGCGTCAAAATCACCCGATGTTATTGTAAACGAAGAGGTTTCAGCGGAGACCCTAGAAAAAATTTTGGAAAATAAATACGTGAAAGAAAAGAAAGTCGAGTTAGATAGAAAAATAGAAAACTTGCGAAAAAAGTACGAAAAACGAAAATTTTCCGTACAAGCTTTCAAGTCTAACGAAAGTTGTGAAAAAAGGAGTAAAATTATGAACATAAAACTTGTGAAACGTTTATCAAATAAAAATATGTAGGTATTCGCTCAATATTTGGCAGTACGAATTACATAATGAGTTATCCACAAATTTATTTATTTGTAGAGTGAGTAGTGGATTATTTACAATGGATTCTTCAAATGTAGAATCCGCAGCAAGCGCAGAAGAAGTGACAGAATCGAGTACTAGCGAATCTATCAAGCCGCCCCCCTATCTGTTACGCAGTAAACCAGAAAAGTTACTCGAAATCACTAAAGAATATGTATTACAAGAAAAAGAACTAAGAGAAAAATACCACGAAATTATTTTCAATACTGCAGAGAGAATTATGAAAACTTCACAGTCTGAGCAGCTAAAAGCACTAAAGGTGAATTCATTGAATTAATTATATCCATTTATTAGCGTTTTTCGTACCTAAATCGCTAATAAAGTTAGTTGAATGTTCCAGAATCAAATGGAAAGAGAAACGTCTGAACTAATGAAAAAACTCCAAGCCGATCGTAGGGAAGAAGTCAAGTCGTTGGCAAAAAAACATCGCGATAGAGACGAATTTATAAGGATGAAACGAGAAGTTGCCATTGCCGTTGTAGATCGAGGTGTTATTGAAAGAGAGAGGCTCGAACAAACCTACGACCAACGTAAAAACGAGCTCGATAAGCAACACGAAACAGTAAGACAAGCCTTAATAGAGTACAAAGTAAAAGTAAGTTTACTGCTGTACATATAATAAAAAAAGGATTATTAATGTATCTGTTATGTTATATGCACTATTGTTTGATTTTATTTCATCATGTTAATAATTTCAGGCAAAATTAGCACTAAGTCAAGAATATGAAAATCGTTTGGCAAAACTTGAAACAGAAACTCCTTCTGAAGCACCCGATATTTCTGATTGATAAAAAATTATATAATTAAAGAAAGACTAATTATATTATTATTGAACAAGAATTTGATGCAGAACATTTATTTATGGACAATCAGGAAATACTCAAGCTAGGTAATCATTAAACATTAAGTACCTACTTACATATTTGTAAATTACTTATTCTGTTATTCTTTAATTCTTGTGATAATAGATTAAGTAGTATTAGTACCCTATAATTTGTGTGTTTATAGATTAAAATGTTTGATTGATAGTGTGATATTTCCTAATAAATTATAGTGTTTCTTTGTTTTATATATTCGCCACCCCTCCACCCCCACAATAACTCTACTCTTAGAGAGGTGATGAGGAGAATTATACACATCACAATGTTAACAATGGCGATAGGGTGATAACATTACAAAGTAATTTATATTAGCGTCAAGTTTGATTATCTTCCATGTTTTAAAATAAAACATTGTACATAATTTAGGATTGTAAATTTAACTAGTTACTGCTAGTGATATTGCATTGATTAAGTCTGGTCCGTCTGGTCTGTTAAGTACTATCCATAGATAAGGTGCTATTAACCATCGACGTCTACTAATGCACGTCCATTAGCGGTCAGAATTGTGGTACAACGAAAGAAAGAGATGGAACGAAGTTTCGGACAATATTAGCATAGTCCGAAACCATATGCCATCCCCTCACTTTTCGAGCCAAGAAATTATTACCCTTTGTGTATCTATTATCTATGATTATTACAATGACATACGGCTAACGCACGTCCATACTTTACGTCGATGCTATTAACAAGTCATGTTTGCTACAATTCAAGTCATTATTTATCTATGGTCATTATCCTACTAATTTCCTACTTACTATCTACTATAATCATAATCACTCGCGTGACTCATCATAGATTACAGAGATATTTGAATTACATTGATTGAGGTGATGCACACAATAATATATTTACTATTTGCGCTTGTTGTGGTTAATAAGTTGAATTGCATTTGTAATAGTAACTAATTGTAATTTGTATTTATTGTTTTTTGTATAATGGAATTCCCTGATCTCGGAGAACATTGCACTCAATCTGGATGTAATAAACTGGGTAATTATAAAATTTGGATCTATTTAGTTGTAAATATTTCTAAGAATATTTTCAAAAATTGTAGATTTCTTGCCTATTAAGTGTGAAGCATGTACACTTGTTTATTGGTAAGTGTTATGAACATTTAATAACCTGAACAAACGCAATATGGTCTCATAATTGTGTTTTCATTTTTAGTAGTGAGCATCATTTCCGTCACAATTGTACACAACAAAAAGATAATAAAGTTCCAGTGTGCCCCCTATGTGATCAGCCAGTACCAATCACTCGTGGTGTTAAACCGGATCTGATTGTAAATTTACATATAGGTAAAAGTATATTACCTAGTTACAACTCGGATGCTCATTTTTATTTTTTGATAGAGAATCAATGTCCTTCTGAATTAAAGAAAAAGGAAGTTTTTATCAATAGATGCATTGTTAAAGGATGTAAGAATAAAGAAATTGTTCCAATAGTTTGCAAGGATTGCAACAATAATTTCTGTTTAAAACACAGACACCCAACAGATCATAAATGTAAGGGAAAACATCAGAATTTTTGTAAGAGGGCTTTGTAAGTTACTTCAAATTAATAGTAATAATAACATATCTTAAGTAAATATTTGTATTGTATTTCAGGCAGGCCAGTTTAGTATCTAACAGTGTTCCTAACACTACTAGCCTACAAGATGGAACAGTATTTATTGCATATTGCTTAGTATACTTATGTAATGTATTTACGAAGTTATTTTCAGGAGTTTGATGAAGCTTTAGCACGTCAATTGTCACAGTCCATGGAAGGGCCAAGTGAAAAACTTACGCAGGAAGAAATAGACTTTGAATTAGCAAAACAGTTGCAAATGACATCTGAGCAAAGTTTAGGTAGTCGAAGCACAAGAGATCGATGCAATGTTTCATAGTAATTTTATTAGGATTAAATGATTGAATTTAGAGAGATAATTTTTTGTAATATCCATTAATAAAAAGTTAACAAGGGCAATATCCGAAATGACTGTTGTTTCAATTATTACAAAAAAATGTGGTTCACATAATAAAAATTCATATAGATATGAAGGTTGAAAAATTTTTACTTTGTAGTTTTCAAGTCTAACGAAAGTTGTGAAAAAAGGAGTAAAATTATGAACATAAAACTTGTGAAACGTTTATCAAATAAAAATATGTAGGTATTCGCTCAATATTTGGCAGTACGAATTACATAATGAGTTATCCACAAATTTATTTATTTGTAGAGTGAGTAGTGGATTATTTACAATGGATTCTTCAAATGTAGAATCNAATAAAATTTAAAATGAGCGATTGAGCAAAATGGCACTCATGCTGCCATAGACATATGCATATATATGTTAACATTATATGATGTTGATTAATAAGTTATTGAAAAATACTTATTAAACATTATTGGCAAATAAAAAATATAAATTATAATCGAACAAACGACACTAAAATCTAAATGATTAATTAAAAGCAGGGTAATTATACCCTTTCACGGTACCTGGTTTTTTGGCCATAAAGAAATCGAAAAATGGATGAATTGTGATCTCAAAAATTGAGTTTCTTTAAATAATAGTTAATAAAAAATATTCTCATCATCAAGTTGTTCTATTCTTTTGTATTCTACATGAAAAAACGAATAACAAAAAAATCCGTTTTGGTATAAAATTCTTATTAAATGTTAATAATGAAAAGTTACTCCTATATTCTTAGTGATAGGTAGAAGGGTGGCAAGTGAAGGAGGGCTGAATGACAAAAATACCCTTTAATTAGCCCTAAGGGAAACCAGATTGAGAATTAAAATTTGTTTAATTTTTTTATAAATTGACGAACAATAACTATTCCTAACTACCATGATACAAATGTGGGATATCTGTGGTTTTCAAAGAGTTAATTTAACTGATTTGATCACATTTGACCTTAAAACTAGAGCATCGTAGGATTATCAGGATTGATTCTAGGGTGATAGGAACAGTATATATTTCTTTATCTATGGATTGTTCAGTATATAGATTAATCTAGATTACTCTGTAGACTTTTATCTATGGATTAGTTATATTATTCATTGAACTAGACTAGAAAGTGTTCCCCTCCACTTCAATGATATTATTACCCTTTGTATATCTATTATCTATGGTACGGTTATTATCAAAATGAGCGGTCAACATATCCGGTAAATGTAATGTTTTTTATTTAAAATAATTAATTTAATCAATATTATTTTTTTAGTTATGATGAATCTGACGATTGTTTTTATTCAAGTGATAATGATGAAGATTTACAAATTGATGCTCCTGAGAAAAATACCTCTGACGACAGAGTATGTGGTTGGATTTTTCTATTGCCTTTTATTATTATAAATATTTACATTAAAAAGAAGACATTATTCCTAAAGTTTGTTGTTTTCAACAATAGGAGGAAGTATTTGGTATCTACTCTGACAATGAAAGCAGTGATATTGCCATGAGTGATGTTGAAGAACAGGAGGACAATGATATCCCGGACATAAGAGCATGGGGAAAAGGAAAAAAGAAATATTATTCAACAGATTATGTTGATAAGGACTATAACACTTCCCACGGCAAAGATGCCTTACTAGCTGATATAGAAGAAGAAGAGGCAAAACAATTGCAGTTACAATTAGTACAACAATTGCAAGATACAGATTTTCATTTTGATATGCTGCCAAAGGTATACCACAATATTTTGTATAGGTATTATGTATAAATATATGCACTCTTACTTTAAATGTGTATTTTGAAGCAGTGTAAAGAAGATACAACAAAATTTGAAGAAACTGTTATTACTGATGTATCAAATTTAACCAAACGCCAAAAGATGGATATTTTTCGAGCAGATGCCCCTGAATTTTTTGGACTTATTGGAGATTCCAAAGGTACAATGTAAAACACTGTGTTTTATGTTTAAATGGAAGAATTTCCTTTTCAGAAAAGTTTAGCACAATAAAAAATATCTTGAAGCTACTGAAAAATAATTTTACTACAAATGGAGTAAATGAGAGCGGAGCTTTAGAATTTCTTTATAAGCATTTACAGTTGATATTAAAGTAAGTATAGAAGTGAAGTATATACTTTGAAATAGGAATCTGGAAATCTTATTTTCCATCATCAGTAGTTGTTAAATGTGGACAATGCAATTAATATACTACATTACATAGATTTCTTAAATTACACTTTTATAGCTATTTGGTAAACATTGGCATATATTTGTTACTTAAATCTCAAAAAGCTGCTATTAAAACACAGAATATTTTCAAAAATTGTAGATTTCTTGCCTATTAAGTGTGAAGCATGTACACTTGTTTATTGGTAAGTGTTATGAACATTTAATAACCTGAACAAACGCAATATGGTCTCATAATTGTGTTTTCATTTTTAGTAGTGAGCATCATTTCCGTCACAATTGTACACAACAAAAAGATAATAAAGTTCCAGTGTGCCCCCTATGTGATCAGCCAGTACCAATCACTCGTGGTGTTAAACCGGATCTGATTGTAAATTTACATATAGGTAAAAGTATATTACCTAGTTACAACTCGGATGCTCATTTTTATTTTTTGATAGAGAATCAATGTCCTTCTGAATTAAAGAAAAAGGAAGTTTTTATCAATAGATGCATTGTTAAAGGATGTAAGAATAAAGAAATTGTTCCAATAGTTTGCAAGGATTGCAACAATAATTTCTGTTTAAAACACAGACACCCAACAGATCATAAATGTAAGGGAAAACATCAGAATTTTTGTAAGAGGGCTTTGTAAGTTACTTCAAATTAATAGTAATAATAACATATCTTAAGTAAATATTTGTATTGTATTTCAGGCAGGCCAGTTTAGTATCTA